TTAGAGATAAATCTTTTTAAAAATTATAAATATTTGATTTATATTATAAGGAGAATATATATTAAGATACTAAAATGTATTACAGCGAAAGTTTTGCGTATTCCAGGAGAGGAAACTGGAAGCTATGTCAGCCGGATCCGTCCACAAAGTCCCGCTTTGATGCCAAGACGCTCTTCCTTTGCGACATCGCAAGCCTCCGGTGGTTGCGATGTTTCGGCGCCGTTGGGATTCGAACCGGAAGGTTGTTGCGGAACCACTACCATGGAGAGCAATTCGCCCCCTGCTTACGCACGGTGGGCGCGAAGTCTGCACTCTTTGTTAGAGGATCCGATGGGTTTAGAGCTGTTTAAAAGGTACCTAAGTCAGGAGGGGCATTTGGATCCGCTCAATTTCTGGTTTGCCTGCGAGGGCCTTAAAGAGCAGAAGGATATGGAGAAGATTTCGCAATTGGTGAAGCTCATCTATCGAAGGTTTTTCCTCAAGTCGCAACTAAGCATACCAGAAGATGTAATGAAAGAGGCAGATCGACGGGTTAAGGAGGGTCGCGCCGATCACAAAGTGTTCGACATAGTGCAATTAGAAGTCGAGCGACTGATCAACGAGACAACTTATCCCAATTTTCTTCAATCTGACGTGTACCTGCAGTACATTCAGTCCTACCAGATTCTTGATTCTGGCGGTTGTCCGAGCTCGAGTTCAGGTAGTCGCGAGATGTCTCTTTCCTGCGGACCGAGTCTGCTGCCCACCGTGCATGAAGACAGCGAGTACATCGGCACCGGTTGTGTACACATGCACAATTCGCACTCGACCGGCGAGACGCCCGGAGAACTGAGATTGACCAAAGATATGCTAATGGTTACCCAACAGAGTAGAGCGATGGATGTACGACCGAGGCCAGAAGCGTACGCCGGGTAATGCACTTTTTGAAATGAAATTATCGAGTCTGATTAAAATGTAATTCGTCATTTGTATAGTACGCTTCAAATCAATCCTGCGAATGCCTTAACAATGCTGTCTTCTTTTCTTTTGAAGCTTGATGTGATGAAACTTGCATATAATCTGAATTATATTTTAAGTTTACATTTTATTATTACCAAATCCTGAAGCGATTAACATCGCTAAAAATAAATTATTTCCCTTAATAACGTTTTTGTCCATATGCAGGATATGCAAAATTTTTTTTTTTGTTTGATAAATAACCTGATATTTTTATTTGTATTTTATTTAGTTGTTTTTTGTTTTGCTATTTTGCGTGGCACTTATAGCCTTTACTTGCAACATGGGGCTAGTCCATATCACATGCACGTACCATCCAGAATGCACGCACTATATTTCTCCTACAACCCAGTATCCAGACAGGATTCCGAGCTTCAGAGTTTGAGCAGTGATGCACGTACCGAGGTGGACAATGTGTCCCTCAACGACGGATCTATGTAAGTTTTTATCTTTTTAATTTTACACAGCATTATTTGAATTTGCACATAAAACAGAGAGTGGGATTTTTCCAACTTTCATTTTGATCATTCATTATCAAACTTTATTACTAATCTGTATGTATTTGGAATTTATCGCTTACAGCGATAGTACGGGCAGCAGACAGAGAAGCAAGAAGCAATACAGCAAGCAATCTAGTAGGGCAATTAAAGAATCCGCGAATATAAACCGCGAATCCATGGCGCATCATGTTGTTCCACGAACCCAACGTATAACGTCTCCGAAACAGATGTCACCGGCGCAATTCGCGGAAGAGCTCAGACAAAAATTGGAGATCGTGCAACGAGAACAGAAGGCCCATGAGAAACTGGAGAAATATCTGTATCAAGAAAATGATTCATCGATCGGTAGCGATGCGTTGGTAGAACCTTGTGGAGCTTCCAAGACTCTAGGTGATGCGCTGAAGGAAAAGTTGTCCATGGAGGAGGATAGTGATCAGGCTATTCTCGACGAGCACGTATCTCGCGTTTGGTCAGATCAAACACCTTCAAGATCTCCCAGGCTTTCACCTGAGAGAAGGCGTCCCACCCACAATTATCCTCGGCCTTACAAGCAGAGAAAAGAGAAAGATATGGACTCCACGTTCTCGGTGGACAGCGGTAATATCCACGACTTCCAAGAGGGAAGCGACCTTATTGGAGCCGGCTCTATGAGTTCACTAGGCTCACACCTTCCCAAATCTAAATCTGTGCCATCAGATTACGGTGATTTCCTTCACAAGCAGGATCTGCATGGTCAAGGTAAATATAATAATGATGAATGATAGCATACGTGTGCATTATGAACGAATTGTGATTATCAGTAAAATAAAATGTTATTTTGCGCAGGTCACGATCAGAGATTCCGAAGGTCGGATATGACGAGACGATCAGCTACGAAAAAATCGATGACGGAGCTAACAGATAGCGGAGTAAGCGTAGTCAGCGATGTGCAGCCTTCCATAAACAAGGAAGTTCGTCTGATGCCTCGGTTTAAAGAAATGGACAAGAAAATTGATTTAAAGCATAGTAGTCGCCATGGCAGTAAGAGATACGGCTCGCGTAGTGAGTCCTTGGAAAGGCCAAACAGAGAACCATGGAGTATGGGAGTTCCTGCTCAACCGTTCGTTGCTGATCCAGGAATGCCACCTCCGCCTCTACCTCATACGGTGAATAGGAGCTGTTCTTTTCCCTCTTTAGATTACCAAGAGCCGAATGTGTTACGAATAACTATGTCACAGGAAATACAGTTAGAGGAGACTCGTAGAAGACTACAAGTGGAAGAAAACAGGATGCGCGCTAATTGCAAGCGACACCTCAACGTTTCGAAACAGCCGTACGAGTTCGCGTCGCAGTATCAACCGTACGTCCAATCTAACCAGTCTACTTTGAGAAAACCGAAGCAGGACGACTTCACCACTGTTGTGTTCAGTTTCTGTGACGAGCAATTCCCTTACAGGACCAGAATTCCTGGTCACTACGTCACGTTGAAGCAGTTTAAGGAGTACCTTCCGAAGAAAGGGAGCTATCGGTAATACATACATTGTTACTTATCGACAAACTAAATAATTTCGTACGTTTTAATTATCTTTTTTAATTACCTTTTTTAATTATAGATACTTTTTCAAAACGGAATGCGAAGATTTAGATATGAAAGTTATACAAGAGGAGATAACGGATGATGCCGAGGTCCTGCCACTGTGGGAAGGCAAAGTGATGGCGCAAGTTAAGGCGCTTGAGTAATAGACTGAATAAAAGAAAACGAAACGAAGCGCGTATTCTGACCAAGTGCCGCAATAAATATTATTTAAGTAATCCGCCACTAAGTCGGCGCTCGGTATTTATACATATATACATATTAACGCTTGTCACGCGGCCTCTTTTTCATAATTGCCTAAGAAAAGTAGTTTTTATCGATGAAAAGATAAAATATCGAATCGAGCAATATTGTTTCGCGCGTGAACATTGCGGAAAAGCATGAAAAAAAAAACGGCCTCACATCAAGTTCTGTCGATCGAATGTCCTCGAAGAAATTTTTTGTAGGTTTGTTCACATCATAAGTGCAATAACTTTCATTGAATTTCTTTCCGCTCAAATATTTTTCAGTAAGATTTAATTAGAAGTGTTACTTTATTATCGATCATGCTAAAGTCTTGAATGTGACTCACTTCAATGATATTCATTCTTGAAGAATATTTTATCATATTGGACGTCTTTATCTGAAGATAGAGGTATCAAAAAGGAGCCAAAACGTAATATATTATGTTCACCGCTAAACAAAATCTTTATCTAATTTATTTTCGCGCTTCAATATTCGCGCTTGATTTATTCACTGTTTCTCTTTTACCAATTGTCGGGTATAATGTGTCTGTACGTCAGCACAAGAGCATTAGCTCTTGCACTGTATTTACGTTCCTTAATAATACTGAGAACACTCACTGTTTGTTTAAAGCAGTAAAAAATGCAGTAACGATTTATTTTAATAAGGATGATTACAAATACTACATTGGACATAGCAGTGATCGCAAAGAAAAAATGTCGATGTACATTGATCGAGAACTCAGTCTTAGAGTGGTATTCATAGTCGATTCTTATATTCAAGACTGTCTTAAATAGAGATGTAAAAAAAAGTATTTTTTACTTCAGAAAAAAGTATCGAGTAAAAAACTAGTTGTAAATAAAAATAATATTTTTTATCAAATTACATAAAATTCATGAAAAAAATTCCTGTAGCTATTTTAATATAATTATTTGAATGACAGATATTTTATATTTAAAAACTAAATAAGTTAAAGATGTTATTAATACTTTATAAACATTGATATTATTTTGCATATTATAATTCTAATCTATATTTTAATTATTTTGTATTCTATATTTTATTTATTTTGAGACAACATCCCAATATAATATTGATTTAAGATAATTAGAGATTTGATGAATGTTGTCTCGTAATTTAAATTTAGAATATGTATAATTACAATCACAATATATGATAAAAATAGTGTTAATTAATCTATTAAAGTATTATTTATATTAATAAGTATGGAATATTTATTTAACTTTTAAAATTGAAATACAGTATAAAACATCATTCAAATAATAGGTAAAGGTATGGTATATTATTTATAAATGCAAACGATTAAATTCTGGAACAATAGTATAGCGTCGAAATGCTAAAAAAATATCCGAGTAAAAAACTGTCAAAGTGAAGTGAATGAAAAAAAAACCATTATTTCCCGAATTTTTATCCTAGAATTTTTCCGTCGTTTACATCTCAAGTACAGTCTTAAGATGTTATGAACCAATTCAGAGGGTCATATTAACATCTTAAGATATTACTTAAGACTTGGAAATAAAAACGGATTATGAATACCGGTCTTAATTCGATATCGTCGCGAGAAGACTAGATCGATTCTCTTTCTTGTCGGATTTGCTTTCCGAAAGTGCCCGACTTTTGTTTTCCTCACGATCGCAAGATCACTAGAATCGATATCCGATTGACGGCAATAATACAATGAACGCGAAACAACATGCATATGAACATGCACACTTTAATTTTTGTTCGATTACAGTGTTTTCTTTTTTTAATGAAAAAGGATCTGCAAAAATTACACCCATGCTGACGAACGGCGCTGTCTCTTGCACACATATTGGAGGGAGATTACTCATTTTATATTCAATTTGACAAGGAGATTTCATCATGTAATGCTGATCGATTTCAACGAAACTTGTTGTAGCGATAGATATTCATGTCGGGTGTTACTGGATAAAAGGATAATAGTCACTATTCAAGCGTTGTGAGAAAATCAAAATTGAAAATTTCGAGCGCCTAATAAGTTAGTTCAGTAGATGGATTTAATCAAAGAGCTCGTAGCTACTTCTAATGAATAAAACACATTTCACATTTCGTTCGATGCATTTTTGCACTAAATGAATGAATCTGAGAAAAATGGAAATCGCTCTGTCCCGCGCGAACCGAGATATTAATTGTTAATGTTGACAGACATATTTAGATTAAGAAATCTATCACATCGAGGACATTGAGAATTACAATTTTGTTTTAAACACAAATTCTCTACTTCAAAAATAAATTCTCTCTGTTTTAAAAATACAAATTCTCTGTTTTAGAAATACATATTTTCTTCTTTAAAACACAAATTATTTTTTATATAATTTTTAAAATTTTCAACTTTGATTTTCTCGCTTGAGTAGTAACATTCGACGTGAATACCTGTCGCTACAACGAGTTTCGTTGAAATCGATTGATATCACGTCGTGAAATCTCCTTGTGAGTTAGCCTTAAAACAGAAACAATACACCCGGATAAGCTTTCGCACTTGATTCCGATCGTCACTAGACGAACTAACTAGAATTTTTGCCGGAGATTATACAATGTGGTTGAACTCTTGCATGATATTGGGTCTCGAGTGTCTTATAAAGTATAAGATATCTTTCTCGGATAATGTTATCTGCCAAGATATGCCTACTTAGTAGCAGAATCAGATGCTTCTGAGAAAACGTTAACTGACGATTGAAACCTTTGAATGCCTATCCGAAGCAACCTGTTCTCGTCTATGAAAGGATTCAAATTAGCGATCCTACTTGGCAGCTCCTTGCCCTCTTTTAAACTTTCAATTTCGTTCGAAAATCGCGCTGATTGAAAAATTTTAAAATTTGTATTTCAACACAAGTATCTTTCTAATATCGCTTCCTAAATCCTTAAATGTTGTTATCATGTACGTGTTTGCCTTTAACTCGAGTATTTCTATTGATTGCATAATTTGAGAAGGCCAGTCGCTTTCTTTCTTTATTATGGAGGACCATATACGATTTCGCAGGAATTACACGAGGTAATTGTCCAAAATATGGCATTAGTCGGGTTATCCTCCGAATTCACATGTCGCCATTCGTGTGATTCGATAATTTCCTGCATCTCAGCAACTCGATTCGCGTAGGTTTTAAGTGAATGCGGCTACGTCCTCAACAAATGCAATACTATCAAATGTAATACCTAACGTGTCTTTCGCTTCGCGCTAACAATACATACCGCAGAGTTCTAGCCATAATATCGTCATTGTTTTTAATGACGCTACTCGCGATTTCGCGTACACCAACTGACTATTTTTCCGCATCTCCCGGTCATGCATGTACATACAAGCAGGCGTCATAACCGATATAACTATCACAAAACCCATGAATTTGAATGTCACAATAATCTTCTACAAATAATCTAAAAGAAATTTGGCCCACTGCTTCTAATTGCTGCGGGAATCCTACTCGAAGTAGGAAGTAAGAGACTGCGGAACAGACTCATTCCATTGCAATTTACATTTCCATACGTCCTGCATTAATTTTTTAACAAGCAAGACATGGGACCTAGCAAACCCATCGGATCAAAGATTTTTGCAATTTCTGCTAGAATATTTCGTTTCGCCACCTTTTCCAGTATCTTGATAGAGTGGGCCAGATAACATACTTCATCATATAACATATTCTATTCTACTCTAAGGCTAATTCTACAATGTGCTCTTTGTTTTCTGTTTCTTGCTGTTTGTCTTTTGTCTTTTTGGTCAATAAAACAAGAAATAAACAGCAAGAAACAAAAAACAAAAAGTACATTGTAGAATTAGCCTTAGAGCTTTTGACAAGCGGTCGATAAAAAATTCACGCTAGTGGTCAAGTCAACGATTCGTTCGTTGAACGCTTGATTGAAGCCACTTTCAGCTAATAACATAATTAATTCATCCCTAATTTTATTCGAACTTCTTCTATTGTCTCGGTTAACAAATTATCTAAGATAGGTATTTTTCAGAATTTCCATTGCTCGAGGATACGCGTGTCGTTCATCATTCGCGAATTTCCGCAAATAGCCAAAAATGCTGAAGAAATATCGAACGTAAGAGTATTGAATTGGAAGGTTTCGACGTTTTCGTTTACCCGCTAGAATATTTTCTGGTAACATCGATCGTTCTCGTGTAATCATCTGAGAACATTTTTTCGACGTCTGCCATTAAAACGTAATTATTTGTGCTTTTCAACAAGCACAGTGATCATGTCATCTTTGTTTAACATTGGCAAACAAGGATGTAATGATCCATTGTATCATGAATGTAATGATCACACCGTGTCATTTGTGTCGCTTGTTGGAAGACACATTATAAGTACGGATTAAATGCGTGTATAATTTATCTTAGATGGCCTTATATCTTCAATAGAGTCCGACCGAAGCTTTTGCCGAAACATTCGGATACATGTCATTTTCAACCGAAATCAAAATTAAAAAAAATAGGAATCTTATAAAGATGGTCTATCATATAGATGGATATATCATATTCTTTTTCTTCATAAATATCACAATTTAATTATTGAAACTATAATTACACATTAAAATTAATATTTAATTACATATTAAAATTAATATTTATGAAGAAGAACTATGGTTTCAATCGAAACTGACAACGTAATGAGTATTCGTTTTGAGTTTTGATAAAAGTTTCGGTCGGACTCTAATCCTCAATCATTTAATGATATGTCTTCGTTAGTTTTTGCGGAAGCATTGAACTATTCTGAGCTTGATGGTATTGCTCGATTCTTTCATCGCACGATGCGCCATGTAATAACCGTCGGTACTTTTATCAATATGTGTCCTAATTTAACGTGCTCCTCGATCATTCGGATGTATTCACCTTTTAGTGCTTCGCATTAAGTTTGCGTTTCAAAAACAATAATTGAACGCGACAGAACGGGAGTCGCTGAGATGTTTGTGTTAGATTCGGAATGGTAATTGCACTATATAATGTCCGTTTTTGTCGCGAGAAAATGGTTTCTAAAAAATGCGTTTCACATCATGCTTCTTCTACCGATCTTCTGTTTATTATTTCTTCGATTTCCCAAAAATTAGTAGTTGTTTCTTTAGATTAGGCAACATGTCAAAAGTTTCGAGGGAATTCGCGGGTCCCCAGCGATTATCCATTCTAATCTTCTCTTCTGTAGATAAAGATCGTGATTTTTACGCGACAGATTAACTTGTCCTATGGAAAACAACGATAATGTCATCCTAGATCCAATTAACCAGGGTTGAAAAGTAATTAGTTACTTAACTAATAACTAAGTTACAGTTACTTTTTTTTAGTAACTTAGTTACATTTTTTCACTAGTAACTAATTTAAAGTTACTTTTATAATTATTTTACATTTTAAACTTATTTGTCAATTTCATGTGATTAGTTAAAATTTAAATATTGATTAAGATTACGATCCACTTAATGCTACAAATGCTTCGAAATATTTTTTTATTGGTCAGTAAATTGCAAACGTAAATTTTTTTCTCTTTGAGTCCTAATGATATCGATGTCACTCATATTATTCTATCATGATAACAGAAAAGTAATTAAAAAGTAACTGAAAAGTTAATTTTTTAGTAATTGTGATTGTAGCGAGTTAATTTTTAGTCTCCGTAAATTGGAAACTGTAACTAGCTACTTTTGAAAGAAAACTGTAACTAATTATTTTTATAAAGTAACTTCTTCAATCCTACACATTAACATATTGATCGCACGTTGTATGTGAAAATCCGGATCGAATTTCTAATCCTAATTTAATGTTTGGTGGAAATTTGAACAAATTTCGTAGAAAAATCTCCGAGGGACCTAGATCCGTAATTGCCAGTATTATCAAGCATGAAGCTGCTTGCTGAAGTCATTATATAACGATTGAAGAGTAACTTTTGATTCGATATGAATATCGTTAATCGTGCTGAGATCGAATGTTTAGTTACCTGTACTCTTAAACGCTCTACGAGAGATTCAGTGATAAAATTAGCCGTGTCTAGTAGGCTCGACATTTAATTACATTTTGATCGCGGAGATGAATCATTACGCTCGTTAATAATTGCGATGCTTAAAATACACTGCCGCTAGACTAGTTTCTCGGTCATCAACCATTTCTGGTAATCATTTAGATAAGGTGGATCCTGAACTTGACGCTTCAGAATTAATTATCGATTTTTCCAAATGCAGAAGCGTATTATGGTGTTTTTGGCAAACGGTTCAATTCGAAAATTTATACGAAGTTCCTTTATGAGATCGTACAACAATTGAAACAAATTTTTGTGTTTTTTCAACGCGGTCCGGTACAGACATCTGTTTAAACTTATCACATAGATAGAACGGGTGTTGTCTTTGCACACGACGCAATTACGCGATATCTTTACGATGAATGCCCAATTCACAGAGGTTCACGCCTTCTTGACTGGGGAACTGTCTTTCGGAATCTGGTATTTTTGTTTTTTCGCGTCTCAAAGCTCAGAGAGTCGATTGTATATTTTGAAATGAGATAAAAATTACAAAAGTGAGCAAATTCACCAAGTATTAACTAATTGAATTATGAATTTTCTAGTAAATTTGCTCATTTTTATAATTTTTCATCTCATTTCGAGATGTGCAATCGACCCCCAGATTGTTGCGAGAGAAGGTGACTCTGGAGACATCAACCTAGAAGATTGTAATAGAGTCAGATAGAGCAAAAGTGAAGTCTTTTAATCCCCGCAGAGATTATCACAGGATCTATGATCCAAAATCATCGTACTGTGACCCTCTTTTTGGATCGAAAATAGGAAAATAATAAGAAGAAAACGCAGATCGCTATGCTGTACAGGAATTCATACATCTATTCAGGTTTCGGAAACTCGTCCCTCTCTAACGTCGCTTCCCTATCTATCCTTGTCTATCGTGTATCTCGGCAATTTACCTTCCATATGTATAACCATTATTCTGGTAAGGATGATTACAAATATTGCACTGGGTACAGTGATAGAGAAAAAAATGATCGATGCACACGGATGGAGAAGCTCTGTCTTAGTTACAGACTAAGAGGGTTTCACAAACATTGATTAATAATCCCCTAATCGGAATTGTCAACCGTAATCGGTCAATTCTATTAAATAACAAATGCGATTGGTCAATTAACGGCGATTAAGTTAACTAGCATCAAAACTGGCTTGATATTACTGTCTCGAGAAGACTCGATCGATTCGGCGCTTCTTCACCATTTCGGATTCGCTTTCCGAAAATTTCCTAATTTTTGCTTTCCTCGCGATCGCGAAATCACTAAAACCGACATCCGATAGACGGCGACAATGCAATAAACGCGGAATCTTTGATGATGAGAGAAGATTAGGAATCATAGACGCCGGAATTGCTTTTCCGATCCGCCGCGGAATCGCCAACACATTTAATGTGAACTTATTTGTCGGATATTTTTGTGTCGGGCCCGATTTTTTTACGCACACACGTAACACCAATTGTTTTTTTTATTGTATTGATATTGCATTGTTTTCTAGTCTAATAAGGTAGACACTGTAGATACTATTTCATGAGACACTGGAAATTAGCGTAATCACGTTGTCTCAATATTTGACACGTGACATCTGATATCGGAAATTGCATTATTCAACTTCCAGCGTCAGATCGCTTGGTTCAAAATTAATCGCTATATACATGACACTGCATTTTTCCAGCACCAATTTTAATCGCAGCCTATTTTGATGCTGAAAATGAGCGTCAACATGAAACGATACCTAATGTGAAAACTGTTTGAGCGGAAGTCAGAGTAAGATCAGAATCATACTCATCTCATCTTTTTCATTTCAGACTTTTTATCATATTTATACAATTATTCAGAGCAAAGAAAGAAAAGGAACAATTCTTTAGAATTGAGATTATTTTGTCAACGAATTTACACGACGGACAGTTCGCGCGACAGTGCTTTATTGTACATAATTAGCATGTAACGATTTTGATGACAATGCTACGCGTTTTATCGGTTTTGCCAGATGGAGTTATTGTTATAATTTTACCTGGCGCAATACCACATTCACGGAGTATAATTTGGCCGACAACGTCGAAATATCGAAAACATTGTGACCGATTAAACAATTTCTTCCTCTCGAAAACTTCCCATAGTTCTCCAAACGATTGTACAAAGGTTCGCGTAGTTGATCGCCTTAATAAGGTCTGCGTAGGCACTAGATTTATATAGAAGACGATAATTATTATACAAACTAGCATCTAAGGAAATATATTACGTATATTTCATGTAAATACAAGACGTCGTCTCGTACATAATATATGTAATATATTTTACATATATGCGCGGTACGCGGAAAAAAAATTATGAATCATGTTTGTTTTTCTCTGTTGGGCCACTACCGTCACCGTTGCATCATCGTCATCCATTCAATATTGTGAAATAAATTCACCGAGCGTAGCCTAATAACGGAGCGATATTTATGTGTTGACACGTAGTTGGCGTCGGGATGGGAAAACCAATGGAGAAAGGAAGATCATTAGCGTTTAGATTGTAATAACATTTGTATCAGGTGCGGAAATATGTGCCTTTTTAGTGCAGTAAGATCGAAATAAGTCTAAAAAAGAAGGTTAAGAAATATTTATAAATTATAGTACAGGGGCCCAATCCTGATAGGAAAAACATTGTGTCCGATATTAAATCTCGTCAAAATTATATTCACACCGATTTGTCGCTGAGAATATCAAGTTTTATTTCTTTTTTTTTTTTTAGATTTTCATCTATCGAAATAGATCGAAATAGAAAAAGATACTGTATAAAGAATTAGATCTTTTATTGAAGAAAAAAAAAGAATAAAACTTGAGACTGAAGGGATTAAATTATAACACAATTGTTACATTGTACAATGTAAATTATTATATTCTACGAAAAATACCCTCGATCGATGATTCGACTTTATAATTTACCGAAGCTCGCTTCCTACACGTGATTCCCGGGAAAAAATTGATTAAAAAAATATAGAAACGATAAACATACTTTATTTACGAAAACTCGCACCTCCGCAAATTCTTAACATGAAGAGATTCATATTGAAGGCGACATGTGCGACCGACAACAATTTGTAATTGTACGTAATTGAACATTATTATATCACGAACGTTACAAGTGTTCCTGTACCTAATTAATTAATAACGATTATTATTGTATATCAAAAATATTGAGAATAATAACGCGATTTTCACTGGATCAAATGAATCACACAAAATTTTATTCTGGAATCCTGCTCCTTCATTGAATAACAAGGATGCTTGTTGATGAATCAGCAAGTCATATAAAAAAAAAACTTTCTTATTGCTCTTTAAAAAACGCAAGAATCACATAATTTAAGACTTCATAATTCAATATACCGCTGCAATAATAATACAGGAAATTTAAAGAAATTCATGTAGGTTAATACTATTTATAATTAGATACGATTTTCTTAAGAGTATTTTAACACTATACAAAATTTAATAGTTAATACTGTATACAGTTTTCTGAAATTGTGGAAATCTTGCAATAATTTTTGTAGAAATTAAGGTGTCAGAAAAAACGATGAAACACATGTTTAAAAAGCTACTTTTTGGTTTCGGTGCTGCTTAATCAACGTTTCAAGGAATTGCACGAGAATGGGAAGGGCGATGAAAATGTCAAGTGCACGAAATTTCCACTTTTGAATCATCTTTTTCAATGGAATCGTTTGTAGCGACTTAAAATTGTCAGCATTTTAATTATCATCAAAGATTTTTCAGATAAGCCCCCACTTGATTTCTAGTGTCATTTCATAATCTCTTTCGCCCTTGCACACCTGTAGATAGCGATTGATCAATATATATACCAAAAAGTAGCTTTTTCGAAACATGTATTTCATCATTTTCCAATATTTTCGTTTTTACAAAAATTATTACGGGATTCCCACACTTTTGGGAAACTCTATATATACATTTTTTCTTCTCTTTGTTATAAATTTTATTGAGAGTATTTCACAGTATTTGTTCTGTTCATTTGTCCTATTCCAAAAAAAAAAGATTTATATAAATCATAGTCTGAGAATTACATATATGTCTAACAAATATATGTAAAAGTATAATAAAAGTATTGAACATTTTTCCAGAAAGATATCGAGGAAGAAAAATGCATTTCTTGTAAACAGTAAAAAGTTTGTGCGAATATTTATCAAATTAATTGTCCATGCATGTACGCACAAACACAAATCGCAATTGTGATGCGATAATACCATGAACACAATATTTTTTTTCTGTACTGGCGTTCGTAAATTCAAGACTGACGACGAGAATCGCTTGACTAGTAGAAAGGAGTCACAAATTCTCCATCATTAACCATTAGTTATGATAATTACTTAAAAGATCACTGTAGATGTGGTGGTAGATAAGCAGGATTGTATGGAGCCTGTTTAGCGTATGCCTCGTCAGTGTATGGTGGGGGTTGCGGCATTGCTAAAAAATTAAATAAAAATGATTATCTATTCGAAAGACTGAAGAGCATTTCTCTTCAATATTAAAATAATACCAAAATTCAAAATAATTCTAAAAAGAATCAACTCTAAAATATATGAAAAGTTAAACAAATTTTTTAAATAAATTTTCATAGATATGTTAGATGTTAACTGTTTGAATATAAAAAAAATCTAAAATGTATATATAGAAATTTTGATCAAATACCTGTCGAATCCGTTGGATATGGTGGAACATAGTTTTGAGCAGGTTGGCTAGTATAGTTTGTTGGAATATTTTGAGTAGGTTGGCTGGTATAGCTTGGTGGAATATTTTGAGTAGATTGACTAGTATAGCTTGGTGGAACATTTGCCGGGGACTGAATTACTTGCACAACAGGTGTCTGAATGTCTGCAACAAATATTTGTGTAATGGATACATAAAGATCCCAAGTATAGCTTAAGTTTGTTTCAGAGACAGTGAGCAAATTAGCAATGAGACTAAAATTATAATCAGGACTAAATACGAAACGAAATATAATAACCTATAATATAGAATTTTTTAAATAGATCTTAAATTTAAAAAAGTAATATTTAATTGATAAATTTTTCAAATGTGCTTTTATAATTTATCTTTTTATAACTTATTTTTTATTTTTATGCTTAAATAACTTATCACTCGATTAAAATAAACAATAAATTATGTATTGGTGATAAAGTCGGGTTGTACACAATTTTTAATATTTTATAAAAAAATTTATATATTTAAGCTTCTATAAATAAAATACATGACCTGTAACTATAAAATTTAGTTATCGAGTAACTATAATATAATTCGTAGAGGCGAATCTAATGCTAAACTTAATGTCATACATATATGCACATGTGGAAGGAATGTTTATTTGAACACATTTCATGTAATGCACTTGGAAGGTGCATTAATCAAAAAGAATTTAAAAAAAATCAATCTACATACGAAGTGTTCCATCTACATATTTACTTAGTGGTAATTAATATCAAATCTCATATATATATATATACTGACAGGACTAGCATGTATTTAAAATACTTTTACATTTAAAACACAATTTTTGTAACACAGTTTTTGTATACTTTGTATTCTGTATTTTAATGGAGCACATGAAAATATTTTGTATTTAAAATAAAAAAAAATAAGCCCTTTATACTTTGTAATTCAAATAATAACATTAATTGTTAATCTTAGTATTATTTAAAATATACAACTTATTTAAAAAATACAAAATACAAAATATACTTTTATATGTTGCTATGAAACACAAAATACAAAATATTTGCATGTGTTGTATTGAAATGTAAAAAATACAATTATCTTATAAATACTGTTTTTCAAATAAAAATATTTCAAATACATGCAGCCCTGTGTACACGCGCGCGCGCGCACACACACACACACACACACACACACACACACACACACACACACACACACACACACACGCGCGCGCGCGCACGCGCGCGCACGCACGCACGCACGAACAATTGTATTGCTCTTAATAATATAAAAAAATAGCAATCTATAAAATAAAAATTATATCATATTTTTCTCACGCATAATTTGGAACATTTCATATGTACATTTTAATGAGGTATGTTTAACGTTAAATGAGAAATCGTTAAACTAACAAAAAAATATCAAAACGCGATTTATATAAAATATACAGTAATGTAACACAGCATTTCATACGTACTATTGTACGCGAGGTTATATATCTCAGACTTATTAGTTTCCACTGCGCAAGTGATCTTACATCTATAATTGGAAGATTAGATTCTCCTTATAAGAATATAGCAATTGGATAAGATCTTCTACAAAAATACTTTGCTATTAATGTAATATTGTAAAAAATATACATTATGCATAATGCTGTTGGAAGACAGTGGCAATGAATTGTCATGAGAATTATTTTCAAATTAGGTCGTTCAGAAGCAACATAAACTGAAAGTTCCATATATATAGAAGAAGTAATATTACGTTTCTGCTAAGAGACTTAACAATAAGAGTGGAGAGATAACGCTAATATTCTTATAAGAAAAAAATATACTTTCGCAATAGATATATGTATAGTAAAATAAGTATACATGTTCCTCATGGGAATTAATTCAATGTTAGATTACATATAGTTAGGAAGCAGAATATAAACTAAAAATTTATCAAATATTGGCATACAAATGCTCTTCATAGGAGAAACGTTGTATTGGAATGGTATTATGCCAAGCCTGGTCCTAAAAAGAATGATGACTCTGTTACTTGCCAATTCAGAATTCATCAATATATGTACTTAATTTTATTTAAAAATTTATCTAATGTTTGTGATTTTTATCGCACAAAAGTATTTATGACGTTAACTATCTTAGAAAAATGCTTCTATAAAGATAATTGTCGCTGTCTCTAACACAAACTATAATTCATTGAAATCCATCGATTTATTTTCACACATAACGAAAATATTAAAAGTTGGTTATTTAACATGGAAATTTAGGAAAAATGTGTGACAACTCAAATATTAATGCACGAAAATTTAAGAAAGAAGACATACTTCCATAGGTGATGCCTTGATTACGGCGATACCAGGGACAGCAACTGCAGCAGAAGCAAGATATGCAGCATGCTAATAGAAAAACAATTACAATCCCTGCAATTGCTAAAGGAAGAATCAAACTAACTCTGTAAAACAATAATATATCCTCATTAAAAAAATATTATGTATTATCTTTTATTAAGTAAATTGTTATCCTAAGTAATTCTATTATTTACCATGTTATTTCACATTTACAAATGTAAAAGATTGTGCGTCATATAGAATTAACGTATTACATATTATTTACTTAAACTATACAATATATATACTTATACTACTAATAAATATACTTAAACTATACAAATGATTATGATGTTTTACCCAGTTGTCTGTACAAATTCCAATAAAGGACAGCAATAAGATCTTTTATTCTCCACATCGACGCAGCAATAATTGTTTTCCTTGGATTCAAATATTCTTGGGCATGTAGTAGCCCAGTGGTCGAAAATATTCCTTTCCATAATTTCAAAATTACAATCTAAAAATCCTAAAATGAGTAAACGAAAATATTTCATAATAAGCATTGAAAATTTTTTAAGTACTAACTGTTAAAAAAAATTAAGAATTAAATTACTAACGAAATTAATAACGTTATTCTCCAACATACATATATACATATATACATATGTGTGTGTGTGTGTGTATTTCTCTTGAATTTTAATACTATCTTAATCTTATCTTAATAATAATAAATGATTATTTCCTATTTACAAACTATAGTATTTGGTTTCAAGAACTAGTCAAAGAATTTCTGAATTCGCTAGCGTATCAGCTAGGAAACGTACGTTGCAATTTATATTTATTTGCATATAAATTATTTGTACATAAATACTAAACTATGTGAGGGAGATCTACGTAGGGAGATGATCTTATCGTATTGTATCTTTAGAAAAGAAGCTTATCAAGTTTCGTTCGTCGATGACTCAAGAAGTTATTGCTTTGTCTTTGTGTTGAATCTATTTTTACTGCTTCGTAAATTTCAAATCTTTTTCAACAATTTCTTCTATTTGTTCATTACTTTTCTAAATTTTTAAAATCATTTTTTTTCTTTGACAACAAATTTTTTTATCTCGTATCAAATGGTACGAAGCGAAAAATGGTTAATAAAATAATCTAAATTGTGAAATATAGGGTGTCCTAAAATAATCGCCAAATATGGGCAGGTAGAGCGGATTAAACCGAGTCGAAAAGTCCTTTATCATTTTGCAATTTTCGCAATAGTTAGCAACAAGATATTAATTACTAAAAATGCCGAAAATTGGTCTTCAATAATTTTTTACTCAAATACTATCAACTTTACAGGAAAACTGGAAGAGACAAAAATTATTTTTTTTTTTCTTATAGAATTCTAAGAATTTTTTCAGAACTTTTTCAGAATTTTTTAATACCGTTTTTTCTTATGTTGGTACAAATAAGAAAATGCAATACTAAACAGTTGATAAAAAATTCTGAAAAAATTTTTTTCCGTACAAATATTTTTAATAAAAAAAACGCGACTGGAATAAAGTTCGTGATAGCACATTATTGAATTCCGCCTATATTAAACGTAATCGATCGCTGTGCGTGCACACACTTATACGCACGCGAAAAATATGCAAGCGTAAAAAAGAATCAAAGAAATGTCTGCAAATCATAACCAACACGCATTACTCTTAATCAATTACTGCTAATATTGTCAATTATTAACTATAGTTTAACACTTATTACAAGAGAGGAATAGATCGATATATAAGAATATATAATCTCGATATTACCAAAATACATAATACACACACAATGTTCTCGATGATAACAAACAGATCATAAACAGTCAAATGTCAGACAATAAATTGATTTTCAAGAAATAGAGATCGATAATTGGCAAAATTAAACTACAACAATTAAAAAGCGCGTCTTATTGACAGGAGTCTGTGGTAGAAAACTTTTGTCGTCTATATAAATAAATTTTTCGTTTATCTTATCTCACTTCCTTGGAATCCGCCTAAAGAGTGATTATTTCTATTTATAATACATCATGGCATTCATAATATTACATATATAAAGTGATATTTTTTTGAAGCATAAAGGAAAATTACGACAGATCGCATTAAAAAGATATATAAATGAAAATTAAAAATGAAATATAGTGTAATGTTCATATAAATAAAAAATTAAAATTAAGAAACTTTTGAACTTGGTGGAATGTGTTTTTCGTGCTAATGAATAACTAACAAAAAACTGTGTTTTGTTTATTCACATAGAGATCCTAACAAATTTAATTCCAAGCTAATAAGTCGATATTTGAAAATTTTATCAATTTCTTTTTCGTCTTAATACATACAGCGATAGCTACATAGTCTTGCTAAGCGCATTTGCGAGAGATTCGATTTCACGAGATTCGCAGAAATGAATACAATACATAACTTATCTCAAATTAATATATATACATTAATATATATACATTAAGGGTACTTTATGTTTTATTAATGTACTGAAATTAGCGAATAATATTAAATATATAAAAACACAATTTGTCTAATTTAACAGATTATAAAATTATGCCTAAAAAACAAAGTGCTATAAATTTAGTATGAATTTTTCTCTTTCTAACGTCCGAGCATATCGGATTTCAGTCACATTTCAATTAATTTAATCGATAATTAATTTACTAAATAATGTATCTATCTGTATTATTTTATTCTTTTATTATCATGGATAAAATTATATTATTTTTAATCAGTTTAATAGAGAAAAGATTAAGAATAACGATGTTTACATGGCTTTAAATATTTTGCGAAGCATTTTGCCGACTAAGCAGTTTGATCAAAGTTCTCCTTATGATTTTCTTGATTCTAGCGGTTAAGAAAAAAACGTCAAATTTTCGCTCACGTGGTAAAAAACAAACTTTTTAAGCTTCAGCTTCAACGAAAAACTTATCACTCCATTACGAAATAATTTGAGCTCCATCAAGAAACTATGTAAAAAAATCATGTTATCGTGTTTTTTAATACGTTTGAAAAACAAGATAAAAAATAACTATCGATTGTTCAAGTACGTAATGATATGAAAACGTAATGCACAATCAAAAGGATGGATCTTCGATCATACGAAGAGTACCATTAATCATTCCCTCATAAACGTACGCCCTATATATATGATAAGTGCCTAAACGCTTGGATTGATGCCTTAACGATCTTATATGTGTACATACATGAATACATGTTCCCCCAATAAAATCGTATTTGACTACTTTGCTAAACGACCTCATTTTCTTACCACCATAAACGTATCCCGTGTGAAGACAAATCAGCAACAATGCTACCTCGAGACGTGACATTTTGATGCTGTTCCTCGCAATGGATGGACTTCACTATTGTAGACTATTTGTAAACTGCTCGGTGGTTGAGCAATGTGCTCGGCTGTGACGACAGTACGAGTCTAGTGACGAATCTCAGGCAACTACCTGCTAACCGCGACAATCCACAGTGGTCGCAGTATTCTGGTTCTATTGTATGACCATGAGTCATATCAACAACTGAGAAGCGGTTTTATAGTCCGAGGCTCGGAGACCAAAAAGAGAGGTGCGAATGCGTCGCATTGGTTAGATTCTAATAAAAAAAAAAAGATCGAGAAAAGAATCTGATTGATAGAATCAAAAGTAACGTTAATCATAAGCAATATTCGATTGGTTGAGTGGCTGCTTTATTTCTCGAACAAATTTTTAAAACTATATTATTCCTTTTAAATAATGTTTTTAGATACTTAAAAAGTTGCATTACAGATTGTGAGTGAGAAATATAATTACGAAGATTAAATGAGAATAAAAAATATTAATTATATATATATAAGCATTTTATAAATGATTCTAGGGAAGTTTTGGATGGTTGAATATCCCGCAGAATTGTCGCCTAGTTATATCGCTAGTGTCACAAATGGCGCCAAAAATGAAAATAGAATCAAACTTGTGAATATGAAATAGGTATCGTTGTTACTGTTTAAGAAATTAAATTTTAAATCAATAACAATAAAATCGTCATAATTTATTATAAAATACTTTCAATACATAAAAAATGTCCGTTGTAAAATGTCACTTTTTGTTCACATTTTATATTTGGCTACAGAGCAATCATCACCGTTAAAAAATATGTGCATTCCTAAAGATGACAAAATAAAATGCCCAAAAACGTAATACATAATAATTAATGTAATATAATAAAAACAACAAATATAAACCCATAAACCCATAAATAAAACATAGAGAAATAATCTCGATGATAAATGTAAAAAAATAATATAAATTGTAAAATATAATTAACTGAATCAATGTGCCGAATCTTCATTAATGAGATCGCTGATGATGTGTCCCATGTCCACGTCATCCTTTAATACAAACGTATGTTGAAAACCACGCTGACATAATTGAGCATTCAGACCAGGATGTTTTGATATTATAGCTTTATAATATTTCACCGGAGCCCAACCGTCTTTGGTACCGTAATACAACCAGAGTTTATCAGCATGTTTTGATATAGTTTCATGATCAGCTTCTTTGACATATTTAATCTCTTCCTTGGCAAGATTAATTATCCTACTCAAAACTCTTGGATCCAGCATTTCTCGAACTGCCCTAACGGATCTATCTGGGATGCCAAAAAACAAACCGAAAGTACGTATCATAAATGTTTGTAGAGTTACTGGAAACATCGTTGTAAAGATCCAAGACAGGAAAATCAAAATTGGTGCCGTATGTGATACCTGAGAAGATAAATATAATTACTTCTAGAAATATAATTATTAGAATAAAAAACAATTGTATGTTGTGTCCAGCAATTATAACTCAGTAAACATCAACTAACAGTAACATATGTAACATCAAACTCCAGGTTACAATTTCACACTCAATGTAATTAGTATGTAACTAGTATGTAATAATACATGCATTATAACATATGTATTACATGTTTATTGTTGAGCGTGAATTAATTATAGTATCATGACATGATACTTTTATTATAGTATCATGACATGATATTAAAGATGTCATAACATCAATGCTGGAGTATTATTGTTGTAATGATCTCTCTCTCTCTTTCTCTCTCTCTCTCTCTCTCTCTCTCTCTCTCTCTCTCTCTCTCTCTCTCTCGCTCCTCTGAGTAATATTTCATAGACAAATATAATGATAAACATGTAAAGACATACAAAAGTCTTAAAGAATATTCCATTAGGAGTGTCTGCCATGTACTCTATCGTAGGGAACAACAGATAGCACTTCCGTATTCTTTTATCAATGTCATTGTCCTTCAGCAACTTGAGTACACACCAGGCACCTATAGAATGTCCAATGAGATGTAAATGCGCATTCTCCGGAATATATCTTTTTATGAATTCAGCCTGCAACCATAAAATTATAGCTTTATTATAAGAGGTCAGGAGATCAACAGAAAGTGCTTGAGGGCTAGAATATCCACCTTGTGTTGAACTTGCGCTGTCAGACCATAGCACTCTGCCCACTTCTGATCGCTAGGCATAGCGATATCCAGGTTCTCTGGTGGTTGAACATGCCCAGCATGTCCGACAACCCATACAGGTATGTCCGATGACGTTAATCTCGACTTGAGTGTTTTGATAAAGCCCTCGTAAAATCGCGGAATACCTGGGTTCCCGGTAATTACGAGGACTATATTCTTACTGGAATGTGGTAGCGGATCTTCCTCTATCCAACGGCCTTCTGATATCACCTCGGTCTGAACCTGATTACAATTAATCATAGCTCGACGCATATTTTATCTCGAGTTACACAACACCGTAGTATTCGTGTTCGTATAATTTAATGAATTTTATAAATGTTATTTTGTATGTATTATTCGAGTATTGCTTATGTAATGCAAAAATTGACTAAGAAAAAGTCAGTTATGATTGTACGAATCACAATTTACATAACGGTACATAACTACACATTGACGATAATTGAACTAAAGTGGAATGAGACAGTTATTCTCGTGAGCCGAAATAGCTCAGTTGGGAGAGCGTTAGACTGAAGATCTAAATGTCCCCGGTTCAATCCCGGGTTTCGGCAAAATTTTTTTTCTATTTTATGTAATTAATCAATTGACGAATTATTAAATAAAACTGATAATTCTTATTGTTTAATTTTCTTTTTTTTTTAATTCATAAAACTTTAAAAATATGCTGTGTCTCTGTAATTGTTACAAGTGAATACGAACATGATTTTGTTGCAATATATTTCGAAATCATGTATTTTATCAATAATTCGCTATAATTTGAATATTTAATTTGTTGTTCGAATTTGAGAGGTATATTTTTTTAATGTTTAACATTCTTTTTAAACATGTTTTCTTACATCGATAATTATTTTCCAGGAAATTTTCGAATAAAGCAACAGAGGACTCTGCCAGTAACGTTTTTAAAATTGCACTGCGAATCAATTTTTAAATTTTCTTTGACAAGTAACAGTTCATATTAAATTAGAATACTAAAAAATATTGATTGATATCATCGATTTAATGAATTAATATACAGAAATATCTAAATTCTGAATATTTAAATTCAAATATCTTAATTCGTGAAGAATTACATGCAATCCGAGAAATAATAAAACATCAAGATATCTTGATATTTTGAAACATAAGGATTTCAAAAATTTGTGAAATAGTATAAAAATGTTCAATAATCCACTCAAAATTCTTGACAAATAAATATATTTTAACATTTAAAAACTTTATAATTATTATTATATCTTCCTTAGATATTACGTATTGAAAATATGGAATATAGATCTTTCGAATATAGATCTCTAAATATTATCAGAAGATCGAGGCATCATAGAAGATATCTAAAAACATAATCAAGAATGTTTCACGTTTATCAGATATTTGCACTATAAGCGTTACTGATCGCTCTCCAGATTCGATGCTGGTATCGTGATTGGCGTCACGCATCTTTCGTGTGATATCCGGTTTTACCGGAAAACGATGAGGAATAGAACAAGAGAATAGCCGGTGTCGTGACGCGGCTAGCCGCCACGATCGCGTCTCGAAGCCGTGCTTTCCATCGGAAAAGTATGGCGGCGGTAATTCGAACGCGCGTCATACAGTCCCGCGAGTGGAGGCGCACGCGTCATGGCGTTTGATCGCGCGCTCGCGGGGCGGGGCAATCGGTACGATTGTGTGTATGCGGACGTGGATGCAAAAAGCACACGGGTTAGCCTCGGATCGGGGCGTAGAACGCGAAACAGGGTGGGGGTGGTGGGGAAGGTACGGGGGAGGGGGAGTCGCTGACGGGTGGGCCGCCCCGTTCGCGGGAAGGCGCCATGCTGACGCGCACGCAACATCCTCGTAATCGGATGATCGTTCTTCCGCGTCGTTCTTTACGCGTGGTAGATTCGAGAGCCTTCCAGAGTCTTATTGCGACAACGGACGGTGTAGGCTTGACCGTTGCCAAACTGTTGTCTCGCTAGAAACAAGCATTGATGAATGAAAAAGATCTTAGAATCAGATCCATGTCAGGTCAGGTTAGATTAGATTAGGTTGGACTTACTGCCGCCCGGATATAAACTTGTGAAATGATTGCCGTCGATTGTTTCATTCTTATTAATATATTTGTGAATGAATATTCGAAGGAATGTTAAATGCTACCTTCCTTGTATCGTGCAAGATAGTAAATTCTTACATGATAACAGCTAGTAAATAGAAAGCCGTGATATAAAAATATATAATTGAAGTTTTGACAGTACGCCCGCGCGTTTTCTATAAAAAATTTTATATTATAGAACAAGGAGAGTTTCTTGTACAGGGTACATAACCATATATATGTATATACAATAAGACTAAGTATAATCATCAACAAATTATTAAACTTTTTCTTTAAATTACTAATAGTAATACTAATAGTAATATTTTTAATTTTCAGATATTTTTTATAAATTTGCAATTATTTCAATAATTTAATGGATAATTTAATTATAATAGTATTTTCCGATTTAAATTTATTTATTAAATTATCAACTTTGGCACTGTCCATATAACACAAATATACCAAGAGACGAAAAACATCCTGAGAATGTCCCAACGTTTTGAAAACTTTATTTCAGGAACATCTCTGAGATAAAGTGTGCTGTATGGATGATTGCTTAAGACAGAAATGTTGGAAACAGGCAATGTATTTTAAGGTACAAATAAAGTTTAACTACAATTATTCTGGTGGATTAATTAAAATTAAAAAATTAATACTTTGATTCCTAACACAAAATTGCAAAATTCACATTCTCTATCTATTGTTCTCTCTCTATTGTTGCATTACAATAACAGCAGTATCCTAATAAGAAATGGAGTATGAAATTTGTCAAGTTAGCGCATATGGCAATTTAATAAAGTATGCTTGCACAAGCTTTTATAAGTGCATCTACATGGTGTCCGTTAAGTTTTAATAAAGCGCTTGTATGTAGATAGAACGAATTGATTGTGAGTCGA